TTTTTTTTTTCATCTAATTTTTATTTACATATAAATGAGTTTTTCGTATTTCAAATTGCTAAAGATAATTCGAAGTTATTTTGTATTTTGAGATGTAATCAATGAAATTTTGTATTGACTATACCATTGGTTGCTTGTACTTGACAGAAGTCTCAACTACGTGTTGTAATCAGTGCCATCTGTTATCTAAAATAGTAGTTGGAGGTACGAAGACGACGACAATGACTGAACTGAATTAAAATCATCTCCTTTGCTATTTCAATATTCCTTGATATCGTACAGCAATTGTATACATCTTGGTGCCGATCGATTCAGAATGGGAAACCTAAACACAGAAAACTATGCAGAGGGATACTTGAACACTCTGAACTTCCACATCTAACACCTAGGTACAAGAAACTACGAAGCGTAACACCTGAACACCCTGGATATCCGATATCTAAATACAAGAAACTACGGAGAGGAAGACCTGAACACTCTGAACTTTCATATTTAACACCTAGATGGAAAAAACTACGGAGCAGAACACCTGGACGCCCTGGACTTTCACGCCCGACACCTAGATACAAGAAACTACGGAGCAGAATACCTGGACACCCTGGACTTCCACGCCCGACACTTAGTTACAGAAAACTACGGATAGGAGCATCTGGAAATCCCATATCTCTAAAAATTGTCATCTAAAATACGAGGAACTATGTTAAAGCACACACATACACACATACGTACACGCATACACACGCGCTCCCATGCAAGCCATAATAATTCTATACTATTGTGAAAGCAGCCTTATGTCAACTGGAAATTCGGTGTGAACGGTAGCTTCACGTACAAAGTGTATTTGATTGTGTTGTGTATTCGTAAATTACCAACACCATCCAGAGTACAAATAGGTAAAGAAGGCAAAGCAGTCAGCGCCATCTGTCGTGTAAAAAAGTAGATGGACGTGCGAAAACGACGACGACGACGACGACGACGGAACTGAAATAAAATCATCTCGCTCGCCATTTCAATACGCCCTGATCTCGTACACTAATCGTATTGAACTTGGTGGCAATCGCTTCAGAACCTTCAATTCCTGTAGTGAATGTATCAATAACTTTTCCTCATATATAGCGGTTCATAAGATATTTCGTTCCAAACACAGATATCAGGAGTTGACTCGAGTAAAGAGTCTCGGCGCGCTGCGCCCTGTACAGCCGGTTGCCTGTACTTGGCGCGAGACTCGACCGAGTCTCTTGATTTCAGCCAGTGACATCGATTGATTTTTGTCACAAGTCAAAATCAATCGATGCAATGGGCTGAAATTGAATAACCACAACTGTGGTTTAATTACGGAATATGCCCTAAAGGGCTATCTACAATGAGACGTTGTCGTAAGCATTAGACGGAAGCGTTTGTCGTTGTCGTTGTCGTGCTGTCCGAGACGGGGCAGCGTTCCGACTTCGTTCCGACATGAATCCACAATGTCGTTACCGTAACGCGTGAGACTTCGATTCCGCAGCCAATCAGAGTACAGAATGTTTTGTGGCAGGGGGCGGTGTTACCACCGGCGTGCAGTTAACGTCGTCGGAAGACGGAAGAGATGGGAGATGACCAACTCTTTTACGATAGCCGACTACGACATCCGTCAAACGCTTCCGTCAAACGATTTCATTGTCGAACGCACGTTCCGTATTCCGACAACGACTTCCGTCATCCGTCTTACGGTTACGTCTCATTGTAGATAGCCTCTCGGACGAATCCATCTATATGGACGGCGCTTTTCGCTTTTCAGTCGCTGCGACTAGTTGTCCACTGACTAGTGGAAACTGACAGTGACCAAAACAGTACCCGGAAATTTGATGCCATTCTTAGAAAAAATAATAATGCCAAAAAAATTGAAAATATCAATTTTTTTTTATTTATATTAAGTAACTTTTTAAGCTATTTTAATTTACTTAACTTATTTTATACATTCCTTCAATAATAATCGGTAATTAAGTATAAAGGAAAAAATCGAAAATTTATAATGAACTTAATACACGCAAAACGTGTCTTGTTCTTTGACTAATTAAATTCTCTTCTTCAGAGGAGGAAAATATGTTGTCAAGAAGCTCTATTTCTTCCTCTTCACTAATACTTAGGTACATACGTTTTCTTTTCTTCTGGCCGAACATTTTTAGGGTGTACTATATTATTTAAAAAAATAACGAATGGATAAATTCAAAAACTAATCACAAAATAAAATAAATAAATACTTACAAATGCAGTAAAGAAACAGGTTTACAGGAATCAATGCACGGAGAGATTATACGAGAGTGTACGTAGAAGAGCAGTGTAATATGAAGACAATTGATTGAATGATATTGAAACAATTGCCGATACTTAGTTGCTATGTTACATAAGACAACAAATTCCATGTTGAATCAGTTGGTAAAACAATAATAAAAGTGTTATACCTAGTTTTATACGCACTGTTATACAGAGGGCGTATATATACGCTTTTCGTATATATTGATGGATTTGTGAGGGCGTATATATACGCCTTTAGCAGTCAAAGGGCTAGAGGGACTCTAGCACGCCGGTGGCAACACCGCCCTCTGCCACAAAACATTCTGTACTCTGATTGGCTGCAGAATCGAAGTGTCACGCGTTACGGTAACGACATTGTGGATTCATGTCGGAACGAAGTCGGAACGCTGCCCCGTCTCTGGCTGCAGAATCGAAGTGTCACGCGTTACGGTAACGACATTGTGGGTTCATGTTGGAACGAAGTCGGAGCGCTGCTCCGTCTCCGACAGCACGACAACGACAACGACTGACACTTCCGCCTAGTGCTTACGACAACGTCTCATTGTAGATAGCCCTCAACTTCCATCTCTTCCGTCTTCCGACAACGTTAACATGCACGCCGGTGGCAACACCGCCCTCTGCCACAAAACATTCTGTACTCTGATTGGCTGCAGAATCGAAGTGTCACGCGTTACGGTAACGACATTGTGGATTCATGTCGGAACGAAGTCGGAACGCTGCCCCGTCTCCGACAGCACGACAACGACAACGACTAACGCTTCCGCCTAGTGCTTACGACAACGTTTCATTGTAGATAGCCCCTAAATAAATACCAGCTTCAGTCAAGCAGTAATTGTCGCATCAACGACGCGCGAATAAATGACTGATCGAAACTCGATATGTGCAGTTTGAACAAGAAGCAGTCGGAGAGAATGACTACCGCGGTATAAATAATATTAACCCTCTTAGTGCCGGGCGAAAAACAGGTGCTTATGCGAAGATAACTGGCCGAATTTTACGATTTTACTAGAATTTTGGAAAAGGCTCATAAAAACCAAACGAAAAGCAACATTTACATAATTAAAAAAGCAGTGTATTAAGGACAAAATAGAGAATAAAACAGTGACGCTAATTTTTCTATATTCATTGAAAATT